AATGATAACATGTCGCCAACATAGAAACATGAAACGCGATAAACAACTTGTCGCAAAGATCCACGCTAGCTTATTCACAGGTTGCTCGGCGAATCCCGGTCCAATCATCAGTCGACTAACAATACTCCTAGGTCTACGTCTACACTTTGGATTGTAATCTGTTCTTGAATCTAAGCTGTTCTGTCCAATACGCTTCCAGTGACTTTCGCTGCTCGTAATTTGCCTTTTTCATATTACGAAGATCTTTTTCCAACCTATAGTGAATGTTAGCTGTTCGCGCCATTCTGTCGGCTTAATGCGATTGCTCGTTGGACATACTCATGACGTGACATCGTCAACCTGTCTAGCGAGTGCTGACGCTCCATGTCCGCAACTCGTGCTTCGTACTCTCTCCTCTGTTTAATAATTGCCAATTGCTCCTGATACAGCTGCTTCGCTTTCTCCTTCTGATACAGGTACATTAAATTCTCACTTCGAGCAAACGGATTTGGTAGCGCAGGCTCAGGAGAATGCTGTTGAAGCTGCTGGCGACTTCTGATTTGTTCTGCGAGAATATCTTGTTGTTGCTGGCGTCGCTTCAATTTCTCAATGTGGGACTCAATCTCAGCCGTGGACAATCTGAACCACCACGCGGTAAGTAACTACAAAGGGAGAGGAGCGCAGGACCCTCCAAACTTGGTAATCGCGCTTTTAACTGAAAGGCATGAACTCAACTCTTTCGATAACCGCTGATTCAGAACTTTATTCTCGTAGTCCCTCTGCACTCTTTCATGCTCCTTTTTGAGTTGGTTTGCAGCGATCTGGAAGCCATTTGTGAGGTTTTGAAATCACAGCATGCGGATGTTAAAGCCTACCTGTTCTTGTAGACCGGCTGCAATAAGCCTTCCGTGCACCAGCACATCGGGTCCAAGCTCTCGATCTTCAAAAAGGTTTCCTACCGGTAATTTGTGCTGCTCTGTTTTACGAATCACCTCCTGGAGATCAAGTTGTTAGGCATGATAGATTTTTGGGTAGCATATTTCGTTCACCTTTTCCGCCGCCTTCGCTCGGTTATATTCCGCAGTGGACATAGTGGTCTCCAGCTTTGCTTGTTTGTTGGCCTGAGCAGGGATATTTTACAACAGATCTATCGACCACAAAAAGATAATTCATTACCCTCGATTTAAGAACAAATTCTTTGTCCAAGTCCAGGGATAGGTGCAACATAAGACGATCTTGCTCTTTCTCTTTTCTTGCCCGTTGCTCCCTGAGATCAACAATCGGCATACTGCGATGCCTGCAAATAGGACAGTTTTCGTCGTTCCAAAGGCGATCTCCGGAATGGGCGTGCGTGTGAGTGCCTACTATGAAAATAGTCAAGCCCCAACTGGGTTAGTTCTTGTATCCTCAATGGCTGGAAGAAGCATTCACGCAGTTGCGTTACCTGAACGGATCAAAAAATTGAAAGGACGATTGTCTCCCTCTACTGTGATAACCTGCGGATTCTTTCCTCCTACCCATGTGTCTACTCCAGCAGGCACCGCAAGGTAGCCCTGGTCGTCCTTTATTGTACGTTGCGATGCAGTGGAATCAGGACGTGTTAGCGTGGGGCCAGGAGGGTTTCCATGATGTAGGCTCTCTGAAAGCTTCTTTAATTTCAGCGGCGGGTCTGTAAGGCTCGCTTTATCTTCTTGGTCGTCCATGTCCGTCCTTTGCTTAGCGTTGCTCGCCGGAGGGTCGGAACAAGACGCTGGTTCTTTCCGATCATCTCTGTAGTGAATCAATTGGTGAGCCGCTCGTTCACAAAATGAAAGGTCAGAGTGTACAATACCGTTTTCCGTCAAAAGGCAGCAGAAGCTTATCAGAAGACACGGCACCGTTGAGGTTGGAAAGGAAGTCCATGGAAAATCTGACTCGGTAGATGAAGTTAATACAGCTGCCCACGTCTTTTCTCTTCAGGTTTACTTGAAAGTACTGTTCAACTAACATGAATCGAATAGTTCCCTGACGAAAATGCAATTTGCCGATGCCCTTAAAGCGAAGAATGACGGTAGATCCTCTTCGCAATATGCGGAGCAGGGCATGAACAAGGTCCTTCATAGCAAGGTCGACTGTTTCTCGACTACGTTTGCAACGGCTGGCAGCTCCTGAAAAGTTAAATAGCTCAGGCGCTGGTATACCTGTTCGATACCAGTCGTATTAGTACGCCATTCTTTCTATGCACATTTAGGTACCGCATGACCTTCAAGAGCAGACGAGTGCCTCTTCACATCATAACCAGGAACTTTTCCCCACATTCGGGATGGGAAAAAGAGAGGACACAAAATCCTCTCCATATCACCAGTCTTTTTCTTCAATCTCTTCACATGGAAGAAGCCGAACCCTGGAAACGTGGTAGACTGCACAGAAATTAGTTGCTATTCCTCGCACACATATATGATGTCCGGCAGGACAGTACTTACACGTTGACTAATCAAGATTGACTCCAGATATTCAGTCAAGTCATTCCAGATATCGATAAACTCTGCAAAAATAAAGCTCATCACATCGATAGCTTTCGCTGTACTGGTCACAATAGTTCTTATAACTACCTGAACCAGATACTGCGGAGAATCTCCTGCTTTTAGGTAAGGTCTCGCACACTCGGACGACATCGTGAAGATCAAATTTCTCCATCTTTTACACTGGTCATGGAAGCGCAAAAGGCGAAGATGTGCTACTGGTTAACCCCGAATGCAAATCTAAGGGCCTTCGAGGATCATTATTGTTCGTCACCCACCCGATCGCGGATCTTACGATCCGTATTTGTTAGTTACATATTTTCGCTACTTTTGTATTACATGGGTTCGAACAAGCTATACTACGACCTAACCTTCACTAGTGGGAATGCATGCGCGCAACGCACTTGACAGAAGACCGGAAAATACAGAAGATGCAGCGTATTGTTATTTATATCTATTGAAGCAGTTCTCTATATTCTATATTATGCATTTATCCTGTAAAAAGTCTTTGATTATGCCCTATCTTTTACACTTATTTCAGACCTTCACGCATTCCGTGTATATAATTGCACGCATCACTGTGCCTCACTTGCTTGTCGTAGCGCACTCAGCTACATATACCTATATAATTCAAGTGATTTCATTGTAAAGCTGAGGAATATGGAAGCTGGGGTGGCCGACTCTGACACCCTCATGCGCAGTGATGTGTTTTCCAGGTCACGCCGAGTTATCCTATGTATTATAAGACTTTGCTGCAGATCGTCACTTTTTCAAGAAATAACTATAGCCAGTGTCATCAACGCTGACAGGCCTGCCCTAGGATCACATTCTCAACAGTTGAAAACCTCGAGGCTCCCAATCATCACTGCCTTGGGTTCATTGGATTTGATTTAGAATTCATGATACCTTGTTTTTGGACTATAATTGTGAGGCTATGTGCCAAAGGAAAGGACACCTCTCTGACATGGTGTTATAGTACAGTTACTTTTGGGGCTCAAGTAGTGGGTTGCAACCCATATGACTTGTGTTTGCCACTGAAGATCCGAGAACCTAGGAATGAATAAATTGTAATTATAGGTATTGTATCAGATGTGAAAGGCATATTTGGGGATCCCAGAACACAGTGAATCCAACTGGTGCAAATGCATATCATGCCAGGCAAGAAGGAGCTCACAACTTCACAACTTTATCAGGCAATGGTGGTAAACTACCTCAGGGTACTCCCCATTATAGGGGACTGTCATGATCCCACATGATCAGATGCATTATGTAATTCATTTATGATTGGGATTCAGACAAGATCTGTCAACCAGATCTTGATCATGTGCATTGCAACACTAGATCTGGGCCTTTTTGACAATAAAAATATAGACAATGACACAATTGAAGACTGACAAAGACTTCTACAATGCCATTGCCACATATGAGAGTACCCTACTATCTCTGTGTTTTGACCTGGGTTTATTAGCTAAGTGCATGAGTTGTCCTATGGCAGCATGTAAGAGTGCTCCTATGACTAAAATCAAGGATTATACTCATACAGATGGGTATAGATGGAGGTGTAAGGAGTGCAGCACATGCCTATCTATTAGGCATAACTCTATTTTCAATAAAACCAAGCTAAAAGTGGACCAGGCATTAATTATAATGTGGAAATGGTGTCAGAGAAGTCAGCAACATCATGTCCTTAATGAGGCATCTATTAACTCAAAAAATACTGTACCAAAATGGTATGATATATATAGAGAAGTTTGTGCCAATATTTTAATTATATCACAATGAGCAGGCTTGAAAATTGGAGGCCCTGGAAAAATTGTTGAAATTGATGAATCTTTATTTGGAAAAAGGAAATATCATAAAGGGAGACAAATTAATGGTCAGTGGGTTGTTGGAGGCATTGAAAGAGGCATAAATAATATATTTTTTGTAGCAGTTATTGTAAGGTAGACCTGTCCTTTAGTATTCACACACAAGTGCAAACTTAGATTTTTGCGACGTGTCTCATCATCATATCACCATATATAGCCATAGTGATCATGTAGCCATGTATGGCCAAAGTATGGCGCAGTGCGTAACAGTAGTTAGATTATGTAAGCCCTGCCACGCTGACAACCTGTCAAAGTCATTCGGTTCCATGGCAGCCCCATAGTTAGAAGATTATTTGTCCCTTTATTTGCTAGCGCCAATCACTTCCGATTGGTGCAAGAGGGACTGCACTGGCGGAGGTGGGAAATCTCATGCTGACGCCCTGCCAAAGGAGGGAGCAAGCATAAAAGAGCGCTGCTCCAAAGCCCCTCAAAAAGGAAGAAGCAAGGAAAAACTAGAAGAACAACTAGCCTAGTTAGCAACGTGAGGAACTATCAATAGTTCCCTTTCTCTTGTATTAACAACAAAGTCTTTATACAGCCCTCTTGCAGGGCCCAATGATTTGCCAGAAAATGTCGACTAGAGCAATCTGGTCGATTGATGGTACATGGTAGCACCACCTGAGACTACCACACACACTACGGAATTGGAAGACATTTGACCCTCTATCATCTTCGACCCATTTGTGTGACAGAATTCTTCTGTCAGTGCTATGGTTATACTGGTTAGATGTGGTTCCAAACTAGTGGTCACATGACTTTGCTGATGGTGTCAGCATTCATTTGACCAGAATTAGATAAATAAGCAGATTTAGCCATTTCTGGCTAAATTAGATGAGTATCCTGACACACTAGCATCTGCCCCTTTTAATCAAGTGGCACAGTGTATTTAGGATGACTTGTCTCACTTGTGATTGGCTATAAATGGTGCAATAGGCTGACAAATAGTTTAGGATGACATGTACAAGATCTGATTGGTTGCAAATGGTGCAATAGGCTGACAAATAGTTTAGGATGACATGTATGAGTTCTGATTGGTTGCAAATGGTGCAATAGGCTGACAAATAGTTTAGGATGACATGTATGAGTTCTGATTGGCTGCAAATGGTGCAATAGGCTGACAAACAGTTTAGGATGATGTGGGTGAGATCTGATTGGGTAGTTAGGATATAGCATTTGTCAGCCCCTTTTGTCTATAAAAAGAGGACCTCTCTGAGGCCCCTCAAAGGAGAATAACAAGTAGTAACCAAGTCTTCCCTAGTTTTCTGTTGTCTTCTTGTCCCTGCTAGCCTGTTACATGGTAGCACCACCTTAGACAACAACCCCAGACTCTTAGACCTTCTGTGAGAGATTAGAAGCTAAGATCCCCAGACCCCCAGAGCCTGCCCTAGACCTTCTGAGTAATATCAGAAGACCAACAGACCCCAGACCCCAGACCCAGCCCTAGTCCTTCTGAGTAATATCAGAAGACCCCTGCCTCTTATCCCAGGCCCAACCTATGCCCAGAACCCCCTTCAAGGACTCCTACAGACCAGCCCACACCACCCCATACCACCAACCTACCCCCAGCACAACCTCCAGAACTACTACCAGACACACCACTTGGTTAGCATCAGAAGCTCTGATAAAACAGATAGAGCTTTTCTATTGTGGGATTGTGAAGAAGCTGTAGAGTCCCCCTGTATCCTCCCCACCAGTTGTACTTGCAAGTAATATTGCATATTTTGGGCCTGTGACCCACCCTATTTTGACTGCAAGTAACATTGCATCTCTTGGGCCTGTGACCCACCCTATTTTGACTGCAAGTAACATTGCATCTCTTGGGCCTGTGACCCACCCTATCTTGACTGCAAGTAACATTGCATCTCTTGGGCCTGTGACCCACCCTATCTTGACTGCAAGTAACATTGCATCTCTTGGGCCTGTGACCCACCCTATTGTTGTTGTTACAAGTAATATTGTAACTACCCAAGACTCCACCCCATTACCACCATGACCAGCCAGGAAGAGATTCTCTTCAACACCATTGCTGAGCTTGACATAGACCAGGTCAGGCAGGAGCTTTATCAAGCAAAGCTCCAGCAGCTGAACTCCACCACACCAGCCACTGCTCAGTATGAACCCAGAGTAGATAAATCCCTGGTAAAAGTCCTCCAAAGCAAGTTGAAGCCCTACAAAGGCAACAGGAATGTCCAAGAGATTAGGACATACCTCCTCAGACTTGAAGAGTACTTCCAGGCAGCTGCAGATCTATCACCAGAAGGCCAACTGTTAGTAGCCACCACCTACTTGGAACTCCATGCTGAAGTCTGGTGGCAAAGCCATGTCAAGAACCACCCAGTAGGATCCCCTCTCAGAATCCAGTCTTGGGACCAGTTCAAGAGAGCCCTTCAAGAGAACTTCCTCCCAGCAAATGCCACCAGAGCAGCAAGAGACCAGTTGGCCAGGCTCAAACAACAAGGCTCAGTAAAGGAGTACCTGAACCAGTTCAATACTTTATGCCTTCAGGTGGATGACTTGTCAGAAGCTGAAAAGTTAGACAAGTTTATCAGAGGGCTTAAACCCAGGGTTCAGGAACAACTGGAGCTTAATCCCACCAGTACCATCAACTTAGCCACAGCTGCAGCAACAGCTGATAGGATTGACCAGATCCAGTTCAGCTACCAGAAAAGAAGCCAGGCCACCAGCTACTACTCCCCCAAGGCTGAGAACTCTGGAGTAGTCCCTATGGAGATAGATAGTATATCCACCAATGCTGGGAAGCCTCTCTCCAAACTCACTGAGGCTGAGAAGACTGAGCTCAGAAAGAAGGGAGCCTGTTTCAGGTGCAGAAAACCAGGCCATATTGCCCCCCTCTGCCCATTGAAGACCAAGCAGCAGGGAAATGGCAAGCAGACTCAGTAGAAGATGGAGGTTCTGCCTCTACTGGGGAAGATATCAAGAACCAAAACCCTGACACCCACCACCTGGTACACTCTCCTGTTATTCAACCTTTGGACCTATTGGACCCACCTGAAACCACCCCTGAGACTTTAACTATCCATGGACTTTACCTGGAACCCCAGAGAACCCCAGCATCCCAGAGAACCCCAGAAACCCAGAGAATCCCAGAATCCCAGAGAACCCCAGAAACCCAGAAAATCCCAGAACCCCTGAGAACCCCAGAATCCCAGAGAACCCCAGAAACCCAGAGAACCCCAGAACCCCAGAGAACCCCAGAAACCCAGAGAACCCCAGAACCCCAGAGAACCCCAGAACCCCAGAGAACCCCAGCATCCCAGAGAACCCCAGAAACCCAGAGAATCCCAGAATCCCAGAGAACCCCAGAAACCCAGAAAATCCCAGAACCCCAGAGAACCCCAGAACCCCAGAGAACCCCAGAATCCCAGAGAACCCC